CTGTCTCGCTGTCTCGCTGTCTCGCTGTCTCGCTGTCTCGCTGTCTCACTGTCTCACTGCCTCGCTGTCTCGGTGTCTCGGTGTCTCGCTGTCTCGCTGTCTCGCTGTCTCGCTGTCTCGCTGTCTCGCTGTCTCGCTGTCTCGCTGTCTCGTTGTCCCACTGTCTCGCTGTCTCACTGTCTCACTGCCTCGCTGTCTCGGTGTCTCGCTGTCTCGCTGTCTCGCTGTCTCGCTGTCTCGCTGTCTCGCTGTCTCGCTGTCTCACTGTCTCACTGTCTCGCTGTCTCGCTGTCTCGCTGTCTCGCTGTCTCGCTGTCTCGCTGTCTCGCTGTCTCGCTGTCTCGCTGTCTCGCTGTCTCACTGTCTCACTGTCTCGCTGTCTCGCTGTCTCGCTGTCTCGCTGTCTCGCTGTCTCGTTGTCCCACTGTCTCGCTGTCTCGCTGTCTCGCTGTCTCGCTGTCTCGCTGTCTCGCTGTCTCACTGTCTCGCTGTCTCGCTGTCTCGCTGTCTCGCTGTCTCGCTGTCTCGCTGTCTCGCTGTCTCACTGTCTCACTGTCTCGCTGTCTCGCTGTCTCGCTGTCTCGCTGTCTCGCTGTCTCGCTGTCTCGCTGTCTCGCTGTCTTGCTGTCTGGCTGCCTGGCTATCTAGCTATCTAGCTATCTAGCTATCTAGCTATCTAGCTGTCTAGCTAGTCCGCGGTCTCGTTAAGTCTCGGCGAGTCTCGTTAATCTCGTTCTCCAAACAAACCTATTTATACCATTTTCAGAACTATGATAAACATCAATATCAAAACGGAGACCCCAATCTGGGCACGGGAGCTCACTGAGGACCAACTGAGCTTCTATCCAGCTCTTCCCGGATATGAACATGAAATTGATATGCCAGCTTATCAGAACTGCATGAAAGATTCGAGAAACTGCGTGGATGACGATGTGAAGCACAAGAATATTGTCGTTTTTGTAGTTCTCGAAGAAATCGGGAAGTTCGAGAAGCTCTGGGGCTCTCGCTGTCCCGGCAAAGAGCACCTCATGTGGCCGCTAGTCGGATACAATGTGTACGGAAGACTTGGAGTGCCGATTTCTTGTAAGTTCCTTTTTATAGCTTTTCTAGGTCTATTTACCATAGTGACCTAACATTAGCAAGTAGAGTTTTCAAGGCCATCAAGTTTAAATAGCCTAGAAATCACACTAGATAAATATTAGGTCATTTCTAGGCTATTAACCATAGTGGCCTAGAAAACTAAACTTGCAAAAGTTAGGCCACCTTGATAAATGGCAACTCAACAGGTGAATATCATGTCATTTCTAGGCTATTTACAATGGTGGCCTAACTTATGCAATTTGAGTTTTCTAGGCCAATATGGTGAAAAGCCTAGAAATCACATCAAGTGGTTATTAAGTAATTTCTATGGCATTTACCATGGTGGCCTAACTTTCACAAGTTGAGTTTTCTAGGCCATCAACTTTTTTTGCGGCATGAAATAAGCCTAACCTGCATCTAATGTGATGTCCAGTACATTATAAGATAGTAACCTAACTTTTGCAAGTAGAGTTTTTTTAAAAACAATCTGCCATGGTAGCCTAGAAAACCCAACTTGCAAAAGTTTGTCCAACATTTCAAAATGACCGGACATTTCTAGTACATTTTGCAAGGTGGCCTAGAAAACTCAAAAGTTAGGCCACTATGCTAATATGACCTAAAAATACACACCAGGGTCTTGTTAGGTCGTTTTGGTGCCGAAAAAAGGTGATGGCCTAGAAAGATCCACTTGCAAAAGTTAGTTCACTATTAATTTTTTTTCACATTTCCAGTAGCCACCATCAAAAACGTCTTTGCTGAGCAGCGAGCAAAACTCCGGCAACGCCTCAGCACCATCATAAAATCGAACACAGCGATTTCTGTGGAAGATTTGGAAGAAAGACTATGGAAGTTCCCGGAGTATCCGCTTATCCGATACTATAGGAAACAAACTCAGGAGTTGGAAAAAAGGCTAAGATGGTCTGGGATTATTGGAAACGATGGGAAGCACATAGAGATCTTTTTGGATGAGGAGGATAGAGATTTTGAGGAGAATGGGTTTGTGGAGCCAGTTAGGGATTCTGGAGAGCAGGAAGGACAGTTTTTGGGGCAAGGACATGGGGAGGATGGGCAAGATGGGCAAGTACAGGCAAGACATGGGCAAGTACAGGCAAGCCATGGGCAAGGACAGGCAAGCCATGTGCCAGGACAGGCAAACCATGGGCAAGGACGGGCAAGCCATGTGCCAGGACAGACAAGCCATGTGCCAGGACAGACAAGCCATGGGCAAGGACAGGCAAGCCATGTGCCAGGACAGACAAGCCATGTGCCAGGACAGACAAGCCATGGGCAAGGACAGACAAGCCATGGGCAAGGACAGGCAAGCCATGGGCAAGGACAGGCAAGCCATGTGCCAGGACAGACAAGCCATGGGCAAGGACAGACAAGCCATGGGCAAGGACAGGCAAGCCATGGGCAAGGACATGCAAGCCATGTGCCAGGACAGGGAAGCCATGCGCAAGTACAGGCAAGACATGGGCAAGTACAGGCAAGGCAAGTGCCAGGACAGGCAAGCCATGGGCAAGGACGGGCAAGCCATGGGCCAAGACAGTATTCGGAGCACGGACAAGGCCAAAATCGACGAGAATCGATTGAGAATCAGGAGACAGAGAAACAGATTTCGAGAAGGAGCAGCAGATCTGGGAAGGATCAGACTCCTGGAAATTCGGTGGACAGGCCAAGGACAAGGAATGGACGATTTTTGTCCACTAAATCTAGGAAACGACGTTCTGAGAAAGCCATCTTTGAGCAGTCGGGACCATTGTTGCCACAGCATCTGGAGAATCAGAGTTTGACATCCGGAGCTCATGATTGTCAGGTAAGAAGAATTTTTGAGGGATTTTTTAGAAAATTTGATTTTGAAAATTTCTAGAATTTTCAGCAAACGCCTGCTCCATCTACTAGGAGTCAAGCACATCGCCAAACTTCAGAGCGTCAGAATTTGAGGAATAATCAACAACAGGTTGGATTTTTGAAAATTCAGATTTTTGAATATTCGCGCCTTTTTTCAAAAGCTGGGATGTTTCAGAATCCAGTCGAACTTCCCCCGATGAATAGACCACCGCCACCATATGTTCCAGTCCAACAGGTGAGAATTTTTTTTTGAAAATTTTGGATTTTCGAATTTCCCGCCAAATTTGTGAAATTCAGAAATTCAGAAATTCAGAAATTCAGAAATTCAGAAATTCAGAAATTCAGAAATTCAGAAATTCAGAAATTCAGAAATTCAGAAATTCAGAAATTCAGAAATTAAGAAATGCAGAAATTCAAAAATTCAGAAATTCAGAAATCCAGAAATTCTGAAATCCAGAAATTCAGAAATTCAGAAATTCAGAAATTCTGAAATTCTGAAATTCAGAAATTCTGAAATTCTGAAGTTTCAGAAATTCTGAAGTTTCAGAAATTCAGAAATTCTGAAATTCTGAAATTCAGAAATTCTGAAGTTTCAGAAGTTCAAAAAACTTCAAAAATTCCAATTTTTCAGCAATATCCAACACCATCAGAAGCTCCTGCTCCACCAACCTACAACTTCAATTTCCAAAATTTCTCTGAAATTTTTAAGAATCATCTGATGAGCATTGTAGGCTATTCGCCAGAAAAAATGCGTCTGGTTCGTAGTGTTTTGAATCAGACCGCCTGTATTTTGGATGGCGATTTGCCCCAAAATTGTAGCCAATCTCAGATTTTTCAGAAATTGAATTCCCTATTTCCCAACAAAAATCGCCCTAATTAGACTAAAAACTGGTCATTTACCCCGATTTTAAAATTATTTTTTCTTATTTTATTTATTTTTGAAATTCACCGATTTTCCATTTTTTCCCCGTTGTTTTTTATTGTTGAAATTCCTATTTTTTTTTGTTTTTAATTTTGAAAATTCAAAATTTTCCCCGCCAAAAATTTCCATTACCAGATTGCTCATTGTTTTTCTATGTTCAGGGTTTTTAGGAATTAATAAACATGGCTTTATCAGAAAAATGTCAAATTTGTTTTTCAGGATTAAAGGCACATACCGCATTTTTAAAATGCCCTAAAAATAGTTCTGAAACGTCGCGGTTCTGAAACGTCGTAGTAGACACCGTTCTAAAACGACACAGTTTTAAAACGACAACGTTCTGAAATGTCATGGTCCCAAAACGTCATGGTCCTGAAACATCACAGTTGCAAAAGGTCGCAGTTCTAAATCGTTGCGGTTCTAAAACGTAAGGGTTCTGGAACGTCACAGTTATGAAATGTCGCGG